TTGTATGGGTACGTAATAGCTAGTTCTCTCTCTCTCTCTCTCTCTCTCTCTCTCTCTCTTCTGCCTTAATGGAATTTTCATTCCTAATGCAGTACCTAAAGTTGAGAACACTTCAGAGGCAGTCTTACACACACTACTTTTATGAAGCAACTGTTGGAGCAGGTCTCCCAATCATCAGTACCTTACGTGGGCTCTTGGAGACTGGTGACAAGATTTTGCGCATAGAGGGCATATTCAGGTGTATTTGTTTTTCCTTGAGCTGTTGAGCTGTATTACCATGTTGGCGAAGTGCTGCAGTAAAATGTCATTAGAAATGCCCAAAATCCCTATCAGTGCATGAAATATCCTGATAGAGCTTATCAGTGCATGAAATACTCGCACAGGATATGAATTGTCAAAGAATCCAAATGTCCTAAAAAGTTCATGGACAAGTCAAAGCATTCTTTTTATAATGATTTTACCCCTTGTAACAACATAAACAATTACTTGGCTAAAAAACTATTTAAAAGATCACATTAAAAGGGAATTTCAGTCTTTTTATTGGAACTCTACGTCTTTTACGCTTTATCGCAGTGGTTTTAAACTCGACTCAGGCTTGGAACTTGGGCCCTTGTCTGGTCGACCCCCTCGAGTCTGTGCTGAGCCGGCCAAAGAGCCAAAAGTTCAAAAAAAGGAAACAAATTGAAAAATTTGTAAAAGTTAGGAAAAAATTGATAATTAACATAAACTTATATGAAGGATGAGAAAAAACTTTTGACAAAGTTAAAAAATAAAAATCATTTTCTTAGAGAAAATAGAAAAAATCATAAAACCATTGAAAGGTATATAGAAAAACTAATTATAAGTTAGTTCTAACTGATTTAGATTAAATTAATTATAAATTATAATTAATTATAGACTTAGATATACCCCTGAGTTTGTGGGGGTGCCGAGCCTGAGTTCCTCGGGCAAGTCTGGGTTGACTCGGGTGTCTGAAAACATTACTTTATCATATTGCCCACTAGTATTTATTTTGTGAAAGAATGAATTAAAAAATAATATATAGTACAAACTGGGATATTCAAAATGTGTTTTAAATCCTTCAACCTTTTTCATCTATGTTCACATAGGAGTAAAACCATCATGAAAAGTACAGTTGGCTGTTCTAGGCACTCATGTTGATTTTTGATCTTTTTGACAGCCCCCACCTGCTCACACACACGGGCGTGCACACACAAAATTCAAAAATCTAACCATCTCTCTGTTTTAGACATGCACACACACAAATACACACAAGAAAAGAAATTCTAAGCATCACTCTGTTACACTTGCAATTTTATCAGTCTCCCTATACATTTATGATGTTTATGTGTATCATGGGAGTAATGCTCCTTGGTTCTTTTGTGTTGCAGTGGAACTTTGAGTTATATCTTCAATGGTTTTACTTGGAATCGGGCTTTTAGTGAGGTGGTTGCAGAGGCAAAACAAGCTGGCTATACTGAGCCAGATCCTAGGGATGATCTTTCGGGAAGTGATGTCGCTAGAAAGGTGATGCAGACCATGAGATTCCTCAACCTTTTTAGTTAATCTCAATTTCTGAAAAATATTCAGAAATTCCTTGGTTCTCCAATATCCATCGAAGATGTCCTATTCGAAGTCCTCATTCGTTCTTGAGCTAGTATTGTTTGTAGCTTTTAATACTGTTCTGTCCAAGGTGTGTTCCCTGTTTGCTGGAAGTATTATCCGTCAACCAAAAGTTGTTTTGGTCAATTTCTAAATGGGAAAATATACTAGGTAGCATTGGGTTTGGAACAGTGGTGCCAGCACAAAATCAAATGCTATATAAATATCCAAACCCTTCCTAAATTTGCATGCATGCATGCAGTTAGTTATTTGAACCTATTAGGAGTCATGATTTCATTTTATGCATAAGTACCCCTTGGTTATGTCAGATTTGGCAAATGTCTCGCCTCTATCCTGTGTATGATTTGGTAAAATGTTGAATTGCCAATAGTTTATGAATTAGATATTTTCTTTTTCTTTTACCTTTTTTTTTCTTCCAATGCCTATGGATCTCACTAATGACGAAAGCCAATTTGGTCTTCAGGTCATAATCCTAGCCAGAGAATCTGGTCTGAAGTTAGAGCTCAGTGATATCCCAGTTGAGAGCCTTGTTCCTGCTCCTCTAAGAGTAAGTACCCTTTACATGTACTTGTTTTTTTACACTTCAGACAGAAATGTAAGCTTACATCATCATCATCATCATAGCCTTATCCCAACTACATGCATGCTTACATACCACCCATAAATACTAACACACCCATGTTCACTTATGCGTGTGTATTTATTGTCAACACCATCAAAATCTCTTTTAGCAAAGGTTAGCAGTTTGAAAATTCCTTTTCAGCAAAGGCTAGCAAATCCTTTCAATCAAATTGGTACTGATGACTCTAAAAGCAACCAATAATATTTCCACTTCTTAATAGCATGTTCTTGCAATGGGGGTGGTTTTGGTAAAATGTTTTTATTTTATGCTTGGTTCCTTTTCTGCTTTATGTTTATGTTGTCATGTGTGTATTACATAATATTACAATACTAGTACATAGTTCATATTAAAGATCTAAGAACTATGCAACTAGAAATCACTTATAGACTATTAATATTTTCATACATGTGTTTGCAAGCTTGTGTCAGGAAAAGATTACATAGCATGAGCTAGTTTCTGCAGGATTATCTCATGGCCCGAAGCCAATTTAAAAAATCTTTGCAGGGGTTCTATTTGATCCCAGATTTTGCAGATGACCTAAATTCATACCATTGAACAAGCTCATGAAGAAGAATCTGAAAAGAAACCTACGAAATGTTTTTTTTCTGAAGAAAATACTATCAATAAAGACCAGATGTTTCAGAAAAGAAAAAATGGTCTTAGATCAAGGCCTTATAGGGATTTATTTAACCCCAAAGTCTGTAGATGTCCTCATTTTTTAGGACAAAAAATAGAGAGTTGATTTTGAACTTTTAAAGGTTTAGATCTAAAATGGGTTTGAAGCTATCATCATCATCGCCATATAAACAATTCGAGGATGCTCACTGAATTTTCTAAGATGTAGATAAAGAATGGATGGGTGTTCCTTGAAGTTTCCCTCTCCTAAAGAAATCCATTTTCTAGGTTCTTTTTATTTTTATTTTTGAGATTGTTCGCCTGGTTCAATGAAGCGCACGTGTTTAAAAATTGAGGTGAAACATTTATAGATTTTTTTTAAGGAGTTTTTGGGCCTTGAATTAATTGCAATAGATTTCACTTTCCTAAAGAAATCTATTTCTTTGGTCCTTTTTTGTTGTTTAATTATTTTTGAGATTGTTCGCCTACTTCAAGAGAGTGTTTGTGCAAAAATTGGAGTGAAATAATTGTCCTTTGATAGATTGTTTAAGGAGCTAATGCTGTAGAAGTTAGCTCAAGGGAGTATGCAATGTGTGTGTGCACGCACACATATGCATGTGTGTGTGGAAAATACTAAACTTCTATAGTATTTCACTTATGGCTCATCACCGTCCAAAGTACATCACGATTGTCTGATAGTGTTTGAATTTTAAATACTTGTTTACAATTCGGGCTAACCTCAAATTTTTGGGTGTGTGCGCCTCGGCGAGACATACATACTTACATAAAATATAAGCACATAATCAAATAATAAAAATGACCAAATTACCCACATGAATATTTCAAGGGTATTTTTGTCATTTTATTTTTGATAGATTGTTTTTATACTTTATTTTATTGCAAGATGGTTAGATGTCCCAAATTTCCAATGAACTAGATTTGTAAAATTCAAATACTATTGGGTAATCATGGCCATCTGATGGACGTTGGATGGTGATGAACCATGAGTGAAGTACTATAGAAATTCGTCATGAGTGTTTATAAGTGTTATCATATTATGTGTGTATGTATGTGGAAAAGTATTTTATGAATCAGGGGATGCATGTTTCCTTTGATCATTTAAAGTCCACAGGTTAAAACAAAAGGACTTGACCAAAATCTAAAATAAATGGTGTAGATAAATTCAAAAGAAAACTTTTAAATTGATAATTTATTAATTATTTTTAGAGTTCATGATCACTATTGTCTAGATCATGGATCCCTAGAATTTTGGATCCAAAATCCATATTTCAAATGTGTGTGTGTGTGTGTGCACGTGTGCATGTGCTTGGGCGTATATGTGTGTGTGTTTGCTTGCACATATGATATATAAAAAGGCCTGAATTCCATGATTTCCATTATTTATGTGGGATTTATCACTGAATGAAGGAGAGTGCATCAATAGAGGAGTTCATGCAACAACTCCCAAAGTTTGATGGTGAAATAGCAAAAAGAAGAGCAGATGCGGAGGCTGTGGGTGAGGTGAGTTTTCCGTTCTGCATTCAGTCATATCAGATGGAAAATTACTTGTTTATTTGTAGTTATAGTTATTTTTATATGGGACATTTAGCAAACCACCTTCAACAGATGCACTATTTAACATATCACGGATATTTGTGTGTCCTAATTTCAGAAAGTCCTCAAGGACATGCCATAGTGGGTCAATAAAGGGTTAGGAAGTGTTGGAGGGGTGATTTCCATATTTGTCCCTCCATTAAAATGAAATTACTTTTTAGGAAAATCGGCTAGCTTGGATACTTCAAATGCCAACATTTCACTCAAAAACACTTTATGAGATACTGGTATTTTTGAACATCAATGACTCATTAAATTATGTGATATCGGTCTTTTCACAGACCAATATCTCACTGAGTCACAAATATCCCAAAGAGTCACCTTGTGAGATCGGGGTATTTTTTAACACCAATATCTCATGGGTGTTCAAGTTTTATTGGTATTCAAACCAACAATGTCTCACTCTTAATATTCAATGAGATATTGCTATTTTTAACTCTGATATCCCACCAAATAAGTATGTCCAGGGGATGTTGGTGTTTTCAAACACCAATATCTCATTGTGAGATTTTTTTTTTTTTTTTCAATCCTTAGTGTTTGAATGAGATATTAGTATTCTCGAAAATACCAATACATCAGATGAGTGGTATTCTTATAAATCTCTTTGGTCTTGGAGAACAATTGGAAATTGCCCATTTATAACATGTGATCCCTATGATGTGTACC